AAATTCTGGAATAAGTGGAATAAGTTTGATGATCGAGATCTTTCTAGATCAAAGAAGAAAAAATAATTCAAGGACAATTTGGTGAGGTTCTGAATGGCGTTGATAGATGATAAAAAGAATTATAGAGAATATTGTTGTTATTCAATTATCATGATAATAAGTATTATTTTTTTAAGCTATAAAGAAAGAATATTTCAAACAGAAACGCTCATCAGTTCTTCGGAAAAGCATAAAATATAAATTGTTGAAAGGAAAAAAAATTATGCTAACGATATCCTCAAAACTATCACTAGCACTCAACTCCAAACAATCTACAATCTTTGAAAATAATTAAAGAAAAAATTAAAGAAAAAAAATATTCGCTCCTACACTTTTCTTGTTAACTTGAATGATCTTATTTATGCTAGGTTTCGCTTACATTTGAAAAAAAAATTAGAATGTTGAAAGCGCATTATTTTTATCTGACAACAGCACCGTGTTCTCGCTTCTGGTCTATTTTCTCATTTTTTTTCTCTTTTTACAATATGATTAAAACATAGAGAAACATGAGAGATGTAATAGTCTAACAGAATGGGCCAAAAAAATTATTTCACTATTCTCGGTGCAATGTTCTGTACAGCACAAAAAAAATGAATAAGACTAGCATAAAACCGTTGAGTATCAATTGTTCAATTATCATATTTGAAAACCTTCATTCTGAATGCTCTTCATTAAGAACAGATAATGATTATATTTAAATAGTATGACATTCAATGTTATACAAGAAAATGTTGCTAAGACTCGCAATGCTTCCGTGTAAAAAAAACGAACAATTAAGTTTAGTTAACGCATAACATTTAGACAAAGCTTAATTGCATTCAGCTAGATAGAGTATCTCCAACACTCATTTCAACACCAACAAATGGCTTTTGCTTGCCAATGCATTCTCTCTAGATACGTTGAAGTATCTATTCACGTTACTATTTCTTTCATTCCTGATATGCTGGATGAAATACTTACCAATACATTCTTGACGAAAATCGAATAGTTCTAATGCTATACCAGATAAAATAATGGTTTATCTGCTTCGAAAACACATACAAATCTCTTAATATATAAAAAGAAGATAAAGAAAATTCAACTTTTTATCGAACTATCAGTGAAAACTTAATAACATTGTTTTGATCAATGTAGAACATTTCTACATTGAAAAAGAACTAATCAAAAGCGCTTCTCAAAATGTTTGAAAAGATTACATTTGGAAGTCCTAGCGAAGAAAAAAAAAAGCATATTTTTATCTGAAACACTTGAGAAAGAGTTTTTTGTAACTTAAGTGTATTTAACCGTGAAACAACAAAAGAGCTGCACATTATATTGTTCCACTTGTTGCTCCTAATGAACTTTTGGTATTATACGAAACCAATAACTATTAATGTTTATTCCAAACAAATATTTTTGCTTTTCGGAGCTCTGAATTCATCTTTAAATCTTTAAAACTATTTTAAATAAGTATATAAATGATGTCTATTTTATTATTTTACTTTGGAAAACATGAGTCTAAATTATGACTGTAATTTAAATTCGAATTCATTCTTCGAAACTTTTCGATTTACTTGTTTTTCTCAATTAATTTTTATTAAATGCTCTATAATTCTATCGAATAAATCTTTGCTTTGCCCTCATCTCTTCTTCTTCATCAATATAAATACATACATATATTATAATCAGTATAACATCCACAAGTACCTTTGACAAAATTTCAAACAAAAAACTGTTCAGTCATAACGTGCGAGGCAAAAGTAGTTGCCGAAATCTCCACTGATGGTTATTCGCAGAGGAACATCGTAGAAAGGGAATTCTTTTATTATTAAAAATAGCAATGTTTGAGCTACAAATTTTGTACCAGACATATTTTTCTAGACCAAATCTAAGAAGAAGGTGATGTCAAAAACCAAACACTTCTGTAGCGACTCTATTGTGTTTCGCATTTCGATCGCATAGGGATTGCGCTGAAAGCTTTCTAACAGAACTGACAACAAGTCGCTCGGATTGACCATTCTCGTTGGCAATTAATTATGACAAAAAAACAACAACATTTTTTCAACATCTGTTCTATGGCAAAAATGACCTTTACACCAGTTCAATCGTTTCGGATGATACACAGAAAGATTTTCTTCAACCTGGCAAAAACTTTTACCTGAAGCCGTTGCACTTTTAAATATACTACGGTTATTTTTTCCCTATTAGCCTAAAAAAAATGTTCAGAGAGGGAGGGGAGAACTTTTCTGGCTATATACTTCAATACTCATTAACAGTCGTGTTTGAATGAACTTTTTTTCATTGTTTATTATGTATGAACATCTCATGCGATGGTGAAATACACTTCGAAAAAGTAACAGATGATAAAATTCAACTCATCTTTATCACAATGTGTCATTCATTGTTAGAGAAGATCTGATGGTGTGAAGTGTAGGTTTGAGTGTAAGGGTCGATGGGGTACGTGGATGTGGGTGTGATGGTGAATCCATTATTTGCCTACAACCACACCTACACACCTGCGAAAAACATGCAATAGCAATCGCGAGATCGTCAACAAAATCTCAATAAATACAGTAAATGATGCTTACATCTAAAATTCTATCGAGATTTTTCCTCAATATATTCATCGACAAGATTTGACTATACCAGTATCGTAGTCTGTAAGTATATTATTCAACTAAAATCTTGCAATAATCTATTTCGTTTCTTTAATCTAGTTCGAAAAACTTCCTGATGGTCATTCTCATGTCCGTTATATTCACAACATATCACATTCAAAATAGTCATTAATTAATTTGACTATTGGAGAACGTTTCAGTGGACTATAGTCCATGAGTCATAAAAAGCAATCATAAATATGCAAGTCTCAATCAAAATCGACAACAGATCAGCAGAAATTCTATTTAAACAGTTTCATCGCAATATCATTTCACAATTCATTGCACTACAAAAATAGTAACAAAAACCCGCGATATTTATGCGGCTATCGCCACACGGAAAATTAGAAAGCTAATATTCTCGTTTAATTGTTTTTTGTATGAATTGATCCAAATCTAAATAGCTATTCAGATCATCAGTATCTGTACTATCTTCAGATAGAATCAATAAACTAAAATCAATCAATATGATACATTGTAATTCAATTGAACAATCAATCCTTTATAAAAGATAATGATCATGCAGTAAATTGAGCAATGTAACTATATGGAGTAAAATATTGAAGGAAACGGACCGCGTAACGCGTTTTCGAGATTGTAGCATGCGTTTCGCAACATTCTTACTTACATAAAATGCGTTTTGACACCGTCGTTTTTAGAAACGATCCGAAACGCTTTTTTCAAGATTGCGTTTCGAGGCGTTTCCGAATTCAAATGTTGTCGAACGCACTTTGGTCGACAGGCGACGCTTTTCACAGGTGCAAATTGAGGGAAAGGTGGAACGCGTTCCTTTTTCAAATGTATGTTGGATTGTTTTTGCTTGGAATGATGCAAAATATATCCGTTCTGCATACAGAATCTTGCAGAAATTCACCAACACAAAGCATATGAGTTAAACAAAGTAAATTCTTTAAAATTACTTTGGAAATGATATGAAATAGCACTTAAAGTTTTGCTCCTTGCACATGTTTTTACGTGAAAATCATGACCAAGGATTTTATGAAGGTAAGACTAAAATCAAAGTCTTCTAAATTTTTAGGCTGCTAGGCTGTTATCTAGACTTATTTCGAAGTTAGACTAATGTAAAACATCAAAGTGTAACAAAAATATATTCTGCTTACTTGAAAACTCATTTCACCACGTTTTTATTGAAAGAGAACATGTTTCGTAAGGTTTACTTAAGAATCGTTTTAAATATTGAGCATTTCGAAAAGATTTAGTAAAGATTGATACTAATATAATTAGTATGGCAACTCTCTTTGATTATTTGTGAACAAAATAATTATCACGTTATCTATAATTTGAATAATTATTAGTATGAGTTCATACTCGAACGAATTGATAATGAATAATGATACTGTGTACAATACTAGTAAACATGATATTAGTTTGTACATTGTTGAAGTAAGAGTGACTTTTTAATAAAAGAGATTCGACTTACAAAAGAAAACTCCCTTCATTTATTGATGTAATTGGAGAAAACGATGGCAGATTTACATTTACAAAAATTTATTAAATCAAGAAAATAAATAAAAGATTAAATTCTAAATTTTTTAAAATTTATATATAAGAAATTTAATTTTTTAAATATTAAATATAATTTAAATCGATTAAATTCGGTTCTATTGAATATCTAAATTTAAATCTGAAAGAGTTTAAATAAAAAATGTATCAAGAAAAGACCACATTAATTGGACATGGGCACCAAAGAAATAATAATTTTCAGTTCAGTAGAATGAAAACTGAAAATCTAATTTAGTAAGTTTACGCGAGACTCTAAATGACAGTAGAATAAACATTTATATCATCAGATTATTTTAGTTGAACGGTTTGTATATATGTCTTATACTCAGGGGTGGCGCGACCGGGAGGGCGTCGGGGATGTAACACCCTCCCAATATTCGGAAAACTTAAAATATTTTGCTTAGTTAGGAGGCGAAAAATAAATCCAAAGTCAATATCTAACAAATGAAAGAGAGAGAAAGATGATCGAAGAAGCACATATTTTATCACATAATGGAATTGTTCTTTTTCTTTTTCTCTATCAATTGTCTGTATGATGCATGTCTGAAAATAATTGACGAGACGAATACATCAATAGTCCGAATGTTGCACTTTTGTCATTATCTTGAATTTAACGTCAACTCGGCAATATCGCACAATATTGTTTACCTCTGCTGATTGAATTGTATGATTTCAGAGCTGCATTAGTTTCAATAAAAAGCGTCAGCATCAAGCATATAGAAAGATTGTTTTTTTCAATTATTCTGCTATCAGTTGTTTTAAATAATTCTTTACTGAAAAGTTATGTTTGATTGATTGTAAATGCATTCAAAATCACCATCCACGAAACGTCATCATAATAATGAAGCTGGTAATAATATTTTGCAATATTTTAAAAGAACCAAGGCTAATGAAAAAACAACTACAACCGTATCAGTTTTAACATCACAAGACAATTTAATCTCAAATGTACAAATGAATATGTTAGGAACTGTCGAAAACGTGGAAGAATCAACAGCAGCAGGAGAGGTAGCTGATAACAGGAGTTCATCTGAAGCAAGTGAACATATACATTCAAATGAAAGTGAAAAAGAAAATCATATGATATCGGGTAATTAATTTTTATAGGTTTTTGATAATGTTGCAAGCTCATTGTTTGCCTTTCGTTTGATTATATTTAGCTAGTACATCTCACACGCAATCGACAACATCAACAACAGCAACAACACTGAACTGTCCATGTGATAATAGTTGCTTACATCAAATAGGAGTTAAACTACGTATTATGGAAACATTGCTTCATCCATGCCAGCATCTAATGAAACTTTCTACGTCTATTAATATTTGTCCCGAAGTCTTCGTAGAAGAAACAAAAATTTTTGTTGATAAACTTCTTGAAGCTGGAAATGATTTAAAAATGTTATGTACAGATATTATAACAGAAACAGAAATGAAAAGAAATAAAATAACAATAATGGATTCAAAAGAAGATGAGCTGATTAATCGTGAACCAGGTAAGGCCAGGGTGTTTTTGGCTCTTTTAAAAAATAACAGTGTTTATTTCCGTATGATTTTAGGTTATTATGACGTTGGTCATAAATTTACCGAAAAACAATTACGTTATTTGGTCTCGGTAGGTCCATTACAAGTTAAAATAGAAGAATATCCGAAGAACCGAGAACTACATACAGCTGGAAAAACATGCAAATTTGCTTCAAAATGGTATGATGAATATCCATACCTTGAATATAGTATTAAAAGAGATGCTGCTTTCTGCTTTACATGTCGATTATTTCCTGATGGTAAAGTTAATCTGAATCCTTTTCTGATTTATGACAATGATATTTTCTCGTCTTTTAGGGCCAGGAAGCGAAAAACATACAGATGCTTGGACTTCAAACGGTGTAGCAACTTGGAATAAGATGAAAAGTCAAGGAATTAAAAAGAAAGGTAGATAAGAGTTTGCTTAACAGCTCTACTCTAGTATAAGCTTTTAATCGGTTGTTTCTATTTTTTTTCATGAAGGTAAACTTGAGCAACATTTTTCATCTGCAACACACAAATCATCAGTTGATCGATATTTGAATTTTAAAAATAAAAAACTTCATGTTGATCTAATGCTTGATAGTAATCGAATGAAAGAAGATCAAGAACAAGAAATGATTTTACAATTAAATAAACAAGTGATTGTTACATTACTTGATTCAGCTCGTTATCTTGCGCGACAAGGATTAGCATTTCGACGAAATCCAGAAAGTGAAGGTTGTAAATGAAAACTTTATGGGGAATTTCCATTATTTTAACTAAATATTCTATTATTAATAGGTAATTTTGTTCAGCTAGTGTATCTACAACGTCGAAATAATCAGGTATTTAATGATTGGTTTTTCAAAACGAAATTAGAGAAATATCAGGTATGATGTCTGTTTTCTACAGTTAAGGGATAGTAAAGCTCATATTATCACTTTAGAATTCGTATCTCAGTCATCAGTCACAGGACGAATACGTCCAATTATTAGGTGAAGCAGTTGAAAGTTTAGTTATTGAAGAAATTAATAAATCACCATTCATATCAATTATGGCTGATAGTACTCCGGATACTTCACATCGCGAAATGTACTCAATCGTTATCAGATTCACAAAAAACTATCAAGTTGAAGAACGTCTATTATCTGTACAAGAATTGCCAAGTAAAGTTGGCGAAGAAATATGTTTGTTATTACTAAAAACATTACAAAGAAAAGGAATATCGACAGAAAAACTAGTGGCACAATGCTATGATAATGCTCCAAATATGGGAGGTAGTTATAAAGGTGTGCAAGCTTGTGTTACCAACCATTTAAATCGGGAAATTTTACATATCCCATGTAGTGCACATAATTCTAATTTGGCTGTGGAATATGCTTGTCATTGTTCGGTTGAATATATCAATTTGTTCATGTTACTACAGGAATTATACAATTACTTTACATTGAGTATAAAAAGATGTCACGTTCTTCGTGAAGCACTTGATAAATCTCCGTATGGTTTAAATATCAAATCCCTATCTGATACAAGATGGACTGCTAATTACGAATCCATTCATGCTATTATTGAATCATATGATGAAATTATTTATTGTTTCCAGTTGATTGAAGAAGGAGAACAATTCGATAAAGAATCAAAACTTCAAGGTAAGAATTTAAGAAACAAATTTATTTCATATGAAATAATCGTATTATTAAAATTTATGGAAAATATAACACGAACAACTAATTCATTAACATCACATCTACAATCAAAACATTTGGATATATTATCATCAATGGAACTAATAGCTAATACGTTAAAATTAATCAAAATCATGAGAAATGATGATCAGTCGTTGAAAAATATCTTACTGGTAGGCCAAGTTATATATATTATTCATATTTTCGTTTGTTGAATTATTTGTTCTGTTTAGTTAGGCAAGAAACATATTGAACCATATGATGTTGATATTGATAAAGAGTTCAATCGACTACACCGATTTCGTCAACCATCACGTCGAATTGATCCAAAACCAGCAACAGTCGTTCAACTTACGAGGTAGTTTAATTAAGAAAAAGTTATATTTGTGGAATGGTCATATATGTGATAGAGATATTTTTCTATTTTTTATTTACAGAGAATCTTTCTATTTGAAATTATTTCGTGAAATTCTCGACCATCTATACACAACGTATTCTGCTTTTTTAAATGTTTTGAATGAGAAATTAAAATGGTTTATTAATGTGACACCCGGTCGTATTGAAAACTTAACATTAAATGAATGTCAACATATGTGTGAAGTAATTCCAAAATTGACAAGTCCACCATTATTATTTACAGAATTTCAATTATTATCTGATCAAATAAAAGAATGTAATGATATGAATGAAATTGCAAAATTGCTACAACAATGTGGACATCTATATCCAAAAGTATCAAGCGTTTACAATTATATATTAACATTACCAATAACAACTGCAACCAATGAACGAAGTTTCAGCAAATTGAAAACAATAAAGAATTATTTGAGGGCAACATTGACGAATGATAAATTAGAATATTTGTTACTATGTTCAGTTGAACATGATCTACTCGATAAACTTGACGTATTGAAACTTACCGAACAGTGGGTGGGTATTTCATCATTTCTCACTTTTTACGTACGATCGCGAAGTGATAGGATTAAGTATAACTCACAATTAATACGAAAATAATTAACTTTCTGTTCTATGCTTTTCAGGCTTTGATGAAAAATCGACGAATAAAAATCAGCAACAGTTAATTGTATTATATCACAAAGTGAACGTTAGTGTCATCTTACTTTTATTTTTGAAATGTTTTTTTTTGTATATATTTCGTATTTGTATTACTGTGTGTAATTTAAATCGAGCTATATTACATATGAGAAAAAATAAATAGTATGAACGTATGAAACTTTTGTTTTTCAAACACGCTAACTTGAAGCATAACTTTACACCCCCCCAAAGTTCGAACAGTCGCGCCACCCCTGCATATATTATTAGTTATTACTCACATTTTATTTTCTATTTTTTCAAAAATAATAATACACTTACAATTAAAAAAGAAGTGTACAAAGTTTTTCCTTTTTTCAAGTTACTTTAGTCCGTTATTTATTGGATTCGATATTGAATTTTTGTACTCGATGATTTCCGTTATCGACGACATAGAGATTGCCGTGTCGATCGAATGATAAACCGATGGGCACTATGAGTTGGTTCGATTGTCCTCCTGCACCGTTTCCGCCAACAATGACACTTCCCTGTTTGGCTCCATTGGGCCAACGCATGATTCGATTATTCCCTGCATCAGCTACATAGACAGTGCCCAATTGATCGACAACGACTCCTTTAGGATATGACAATTGTGTAAGACCATTTCCTTTTCCTTGATCATCAGCCACGACAATGCCTTGTTTTGCACCTTCCACCCATTTCATCACAAGATGATTTCCCCATTCAGACACGTAGACTGAATGATCTCGATCGACGAATACGTAGTGTGGGAAAGAGAGTTGATCGTGACGATTTCCACTTCCATTGCCACCTGCAACCACTGTTCCTTGAGATTCTCCTCTTCGATATCGTCTCACTTCATGGTTTCCCCAGTCAACGACATAGAGAGATCCATTCTCGTCTATTGTCAAACCCACACAAACGATGTTGGAGATGATTGTTTCTCCACTTGTCCCATTTCGACGAGGCCATCGAACCACTCTTTCATTCGAAGTATCGGAGATGATTAGACAATCTCTCTCTTTGTCGACAATCACATCTTGTGGGTTATTCAATTGATGAGCCCCACTTCCTTGTCCATTTCCACCGGCAACCACTTGGCCACTCGTCGCACCCAATTTCCATTCCATAATACGGTGATTGTATTGATCAGCGACATATATTGTTTGATCTTCATCAACATACAAACCCCATGGGTATGAGAGTTGATTGATTCCATTTCCTTTTCCATTTCCTCCAGCAACAGTGATACCATTCTGTTGCCATCGAGCATTTGGATGAATGTCAATTGAACTTCCACGTAATGGAATCACTGAAATTGAGAGAAACAAGAGAATAAAATGATAAAATAAAAGAGAAGACAATGTGAGAGA